ATCAAATTTCCCTTGCTTCTTCCCAAAAGTCCTAGCAATTTCTGAATTGTGTTCACACAAACTTGAAGAGGAAGCACAAAGGAGATGCTTAAAGAGTCACTATGGCAATATCCTCAATTTCTTTGTAACTAGAGTGAAAGATCGCATACTTGTACTAAAGCTTCTCGTAGACCAAATAATCATCTTTCTTAGAATCTTTTCCTTTTACCATATTTCATTCTCTCCCATTTTCTTAATAAATTTTTTGGTGATTAAACGGGTAGGGCGTCCGCAAAGGAACAATCCAACAACTAAAATACCACAATTTGAACTAAGTTTCACGAATTTAAATCTTAGAATTTTTTTACCATGAATTTAAGTCTTAAAATCGAGATTGAAAAACTCAAATTTTATTCGTTTGGTTTGATTTATAGATAAAATCCGATACAATTGGTTTGAAACTTTAAATTGATAATTAAAAAATCTGAACAAACTTGATCTATGTATACCTCTAATTCAATTAATATGCTCTAAGGTAGGGGTGTTCATGGTTCGGTTTGGATCGGTTTTTCCCTAAAAAGAAACCAAACCAATTTAGTCGGTTTTTCAAATATTAGAACCAAACCAAACCAATTAAGTCGATTTTTTCTCGATTCGGTTTATGTCGGTTCTTCGGTTTTTTCAGTTATTTGTCGGTTTTTTCTTAAATATAAGACATAGACTACCAAACATATATTTCGACGACCACATTTTCAACGTAACACTATCAAATCAATTGTCCTTTGAGAAATCTATTATTTACCAAGATATATTGATGATAATTGAATCAAATAGTGATGAATAATTTAAGGACTTAATTAAAAATATATTATTTTTAACATGAAATAGATTTTTACACTTAACAAAAGAAAACTATCAATCAAACTAGAATGTAAAGGTAAAGAACTGTACTAAAAGTGCAAACGATTAACATTTACTACAAAAATTTTGAAACTTTGTATAAAAATATACATATATATACGTGTAATAATAAATCTAAAATAGCAACTCCTATATTCGGTTTGGTTCGGTTTTTTTAATTAAAACCAAAACCAAACCAAATTTGATCGGTTTTTAAATTTCAAAACCAAAACCAAATCAAACCAAACCAAAATGTATCAGTTTTTTTGGTCGGTTTGGTTTGGTTTTCGGTTTGATTCGGATTTTCGGATTTTTATGAACACCCCTCCTCTCAGAAAAATGTACTTGTGATCCATTTATCTAAACCAAGCATTCTTTCGAACATTAATTGTCCTTGGTGTGATATGATTAAAAAGTCTAAATACTCAGTGCGAGTCTACTCACAATATTTCTTTTTACTTAGGTGCACTTTGTTTAGAGCTTAAACTCACAAGAGTCAGGGCCGGCTCAATGGTAAAGCCACTCAAGCAACTGCTTGAGGCCCCATATCTAGGGGGGCCAATTTTTTTTTGATATTATAATAAATTTTCTGATATTAATAAATAGTTGTATCTGCATTTGATGAATTTTTAAAGAAATATTTAGTATATAAAAAAGTATATTCTTCAGAAATAAGGAAACTATGGGACCGTGCTATAACTCTCAAAATAACCGGCCGGGTCGTTACATATTATCTTTTTTAATTTATTAGAATTTTAATATATCAACAAGAAAATATGAATCCGCATATTAAAAATATCAAAAAAAGAGAGAAAATTTGAAACTTTAATACAATCCCCAAAAATAGGAAGAATTTATGGTAGATAATCAGATCAGTAATACAATTGAGCTAGAAGAGAATTGAATCCAACAAGAAGAAGAAGAAGTTGGTGAGAGTTTAACATAGGTCTTTTAAAAAATCAGGAAATCCTAAAAGAATTGAATAATAATCCTAGAAAGTAGAGTATATATAATCCTAGTTAAGAAATCGATTATAAATAAATTATTAAAAATTTTACATCTCAAAAAGCTTGAAAAATAAACTTCAATTTTTTTTTTTATTAAATGAGTTTTTAAATATAGAAAAACTTAGGGCCCCTCGTTGAAGTTTGGTTTTAGGCCCCGGATACTGTTGAGCCGCCCCTGACAGGAGCCCTACGGGAGAACCTCTCATCTTATCTCTCTCACTTCTTGAATTGCTAGTACAGTAAATGAA